GAGGGAGGGGAGAAAAGTGAGAAGAAAGAGAGGAGAGGGAGGGAAGAGAACTGAGAGAGGGAGGAGAGGGAGGGACACACACACACACACAGAGAAAGAGAGAGAGAGAGAGAGAGAGAGAGAGAGAGAGAGAGAGAGAGAGAGAGCAGACCTCTCCCGCAATCACATTCCCAGTGCTATTATCCTGCCTCTTCAACCCTTGGCCTGCAAGAGGAAGCAGGAGCCGGCTGGGCAGCCAGGAGACACTAGCAAAGGCGTGATTGATAATTGGCGACTGTAATTCTATAATTCATCTCTGCATCGCAGTGAAATTAAAAGAGTTTAGGTTCCTAAGCATAATGATCATCAATTAAATGCCGGGGAGATTTAGTGTCCTCATTTGAATTTTGTTTTATTTATTTAAATGTCTCTTTTGCTGGGTGAGGGGGGCAGCTCAGGGTGAGGGGAACAGAGTGAAGGCTGGTCCCCAGGCAGTTTGGAGCAGCCAGGTCTCACGGGTTACCTGGGGGTGGTGCAGGGCAGCGGGCTTTTTGAGACAGGGGATCCATCATCTCGGGCCTAATCAGTTAATACTGATAAACTGCCAGCAATAACTGCCAATTGTACCGCTTGGAGCTGCAGGTTCATTCATTTAGGGAGTACAGCGGCGCCACGTTGGGGAAGCACTTCTGTCTCCAGGAGGGAGATGATGCATTTGGTGCAGGCCAAGGGGCCACCGCAGCCCCAGGGCGGTGAGGGAAAAGCTGTCTCTAGTTAGCTCGAGAACAGTCCAGCCTGCGGGCGGTGTGATGAATCTGGCCCGTGCCTGGTCTTTGGGCCCAGATTGGCACAGAGGTGATGTGCACTTTGGTTTTAATGTGGACTGCTTTGTGAAGACATTTCCTGGCCCAATGTTGCACACACCTGCAAAACAATGCCTCAGGAATCAAGAGTCCTTACAGCAGCCCCGCCTCCTCAGCTGTGACTCAGTTTCCTCCTGTGGAGAGAAGGAATTGTAATAGGTGGCCTGGAGGGGTCCTTTGTAGCTCAGTGGCTTGATTCCATCTGTCCTTGGCTGCTGACATCATCCATCATCATGCTGACAGGATGCCTAGCCCACCTTCTGCCCTCCCTGTCCGCCCCAGTTATAGCCCGGGTACCGACCGCATTCGCCTCCTCTGCCTCTTGGAACCGTTCGACCCTCCCCACATGGCTGTCCCTTTTTCTGGGTTGGTTATCGCTACAGTTTCCCAGCATTCTCTGATTCTGACTTCTCACTTGCAATCAAGAAACTAAAAATAGAGCATAAAGGAGGCTCTCCAAGGGGGGTGGCTGGGGGTGGGCAGAGGCCTCCAAAGTGCTCTGGTTCCCCATGGGAATGAGACCTCATCAGCCCAGCGTGGGGAAGGGGGAATCCAATCCACACCAATGACAGAGGTGGAGGCCAGGGGACAGAGCCTTCCAGATCAGCAAGAACAAGGGCTGAGCTTGAGACAACAGTGTGTGTGTACTCCGGAGGGAGGGCTAAGAAGCAGGGCAGGAGGCAGCAGCTTTTGGGGTATTCTGGGTCTTTGCGCATGAATCCCATTGCATCCCTGGCACAAGAGACCCTCTCCTTGAGCCGAGTGAGGGCTGCAGTCCTGGGACCAAGGCCCACACAGCCTGGGCAGAGGGGGCTTCGTGTATTCATCTATCTACCAGAAGAGGGCGCCCTATTATAATTTTCGCCAAGGTATGCTTTAGCACAGGGAAGCATCATGAAGAATGCTCCCGTGGTTATCCTATTGTGCTGGTAGACAAACAGGACCCACTCACCCTAATCAGGGATTTCTCCATCAGAGCCTTAGATTGTAAAGGAGTGGGCGTGATGTGATAAGGTGGGCCTACTTGGTGGCAACGGGGCTGTGTCGGGCAGAGACTCACAGGCATTGGGCTAGGAATCGGGATGATCTGGGTTCTCAGACACAATCGCAAAACGCAGTCCACCTCCCTGCCCTGGAGATCTGAATAGTGCACAAATCCGTGTAAGTGACAGTTGGTATCAGGAGTACACCCCTGGTTATGGAGCCTGGAGCTCGGAGCTGCAGTTCAAGTTGCTATATATACTACGTATGGCCTTGGGCACACTGTTGCTTTTTCCTCTGAGCCTCAGTTTCCTTCTCCTGTCCAATCATAGGCTATATGAGCAGGGTGGTGGGGGTCAGCACTTTGTCTCTCCTGCACAGACAGAGGCAGTGGCTGTGCCTTATCTTCTGAGGGACAGTGCAGAAGGAGGACATTATCACTACCTTTGTGTGGTACTGCCTCAGAAGCTACATGTTTACATGGGGTTATCTTCAGGACCCATGATGCTTTCCCTCCTGGAGGAGGAAGGGGAACGGCTGAGACTGGAATCCCAGGGTTTGCCAGGTTTTGTACCAATGATTCAAATCAAGATAATGCTCCATCTGAACTCATTCCAGCTGTTTGATCAGGCTGGTTTCTATCACTGGACTCAGTCCTCAAAAATGTGGTGATGTCACCAGGGAGAGGGGGCCGTGAGGACCTGAGCCCTGCTGGGATGGCCCCTCGCTTGGCTTTTCTCAGTCTTGTCCACAAGGCTGGCTATCTTCCTGTACTTAGCACAAGTACTTTCTTTCTCCCCTTTGGGAGGACTGAAGACCTTCTAGAGAATTGAGGGCAATCTGAAGGTGACCCCAAGTCTCCAAGAATACTCACCTCATGTCCTCATCTCTTTACATCCTGAGTCAGGACATCCATTCAGGACTGGTTTGAGGTCAAGGGCTCCTCAGGATTGTCTTGGACTCTTTGGACAGCTCTGTCCCTGTATTTGAGATGAGTTTAGAGGAGGCAGGACTCTGTAATTTTCTGTGTGAAATCCACAAAAGCTACAAGCCCAAGTGGGCATGCAGCCCAACAAAGGCTTTTTAAAAATTACCATGCACTGTCCTTTCCTCTGATTACAAAAGCAATACATATTCATGGTAAAAATTTTAGAAAATACAGAAAAGCACAAAGGGAAAAAATTCATCTGTCTTCTACGTTCCAGAAGCATCCATTATTAACTTTTGAGGTGTCCACCTTGCCCTTTTCTTACTTGTGGTCTCTGTATCGGTGTCTTTTAATGGGAGCCCCATGCAGCAATACTGTTTTGTCACCTACTTGGTGACATTTCCCCACACAACAAAAGCCATTTGATGAGTGTGGCCAAGTGTTTGGTCATGGAAATGGTGGGGTGGAGGGCATGAGAGCAGGACTGTGAGGGGAGACTCTAATGCGGTCAGATCTGGCTCTGTGGCTTCCAGTAGAGACAGAAGAGCATCAAATCCATCAGCTGAAAGGGCAGCTCTTGAGGCAGCCAGCATGAACCCCAGTGATCTGAGGATGACGGGAAGGTGAGCTAGCCATGGCGGCTGGCTTACTCTGTTGGCTTCCTTCCTCCATAGGTTCTTGCCCTGGCCACAGCAAGCTGGAAGGAAGTGGGCAGGACATGAGGTGATAATCATTGCTAGGCTATAACAAAATAACACTAGAAGCTGGGCATGCTAGCCTGGGAGACAGAGGCAGGAAGATTTTGAGTTTAAGGATATCCTGTGCTAAACAAAAAGACTCTGCGTCAGAAAATGAAATCAAACCAAACCCCAAACACCCAATAATGATAAAACAAAAGAAAGCACAGCAGTGTAAATTACAAATACAGCTAGAAATGTGAAGGTCTGTTTCACCTGCCACTTAAGGGAGCATGGATTCTGAAAACCCTTTCCAATGACACAGGCTGAATACTGTAACAGGTGTAGTAGTTTGAATGAGAACGGCCCTCATAGGCTCATATGTTTGAATACTTGGTTACTAGTTGATAGAACTGTCTGGGAAGGATTAGTATGACCTTGTGTGTCGCTGGGGAAAGGCTTTGACGTTTCAAAAGACTCATATAATTTTAAGCTAGTTAGTTCCCTCTGTTTCCTGTTTGTGGTTGGAGATGTGAGCTGTCAGCTTTTCCTACCTCCGTGACTTCATTCTACAACCCTGGATTCTAACCGGTTGGGACCATAAACCCAGTTAAATGCTTTTTTTTATAAGTTACCTCAGTTTTACTGTTTTGTCACAGCAGTAGAAATGGGACTACTAGACAAGGACACCTTGGGGTCATTGTGTACTGGAGAGCTTCAGTTTTGCTGAGCAGTGCATGCAGATCTGGGACCCACAGCAACTGGAAATGCTGAACAAATAACCATGGGACACAGGTCTTTCAATTTCAAGAATCCATACCCACCCTGTCAGCATACCACATTCACCTTCTTTAAAGCATTCTGATTAGGCCAGCTGATTTCTGATAAGCCCATCTCTATCTTACTATATTTTTTTCTGTCTTCAAACTCAGCCCATTGTCTGTTAACAACAAATCTAAATAACCTAGTTTAAAAAAATTAACAAAAGACGGAGACATTTCTTGAATGATGTAGACTAGTGGATGACAAGCATATGAGAAGATCTTCAACATCATTCATCATCAGAGAAATGTAAATTGAAACCATAAATGGTGGTGTGAATAGGTATGGCCCCCACAGGCTCGTGTGTTTGAATGTTTGGCCCATGGGGAGTGGCACTATTAGGAGGTGTGGCCTTGTTGGAGGAAGTGTGTCACTGTGAGGGGGGCTTTGAGGTCTCATATGCTCAAGCTATACCCATTGTGGCTCCTAGACCCTTTCTGCTGTCTGTGGATCAAGATGTGGAGCTCTTAGTCCTTCTCCAGCACCATGTCTGCCTGCACACGGCCATGTCCTGCCATGATGATAATCAATTAAACCTCTGAAACTGTAAGCCAGCCCCAATTAAATGTCTTCCTTTATAAGAGTTGCTGTGGTCATGGTGTCTCTTCACAGCAATAGAAACCCGAACTAAGACACCATGTGAGACAATATTTTATACTCAGGATGGAGGGAAGAAAGGAGAGAGAGAAGAGAAGGAGGAGGACGAGTTGGTAAATTTGTAATTATGACCTTTGTGTTCCATTTGGTAAGAATACAGAATGTAGGTCTGGTGTAGAAAACAACACCACTCTTCAAAAACACAAAATCAGAATCAGCTAGTTTCGGCAATTGCCTTGCTGGGGACACTTTCATAAGGACTGAAAACAGGATTTTGAAGGGAGATTTACATACTCAACTTACAGCAGCAGTGTTCACCAAGTGTAGGAGCAACCTTTATGTCCACAGATCGATGGATGGAAAACCAGAAGGTGACATTTTACTTAGCCCCGAGGAAGAGAATCAGCAACATGCTACAGCAAGATAGATATGCGAAGTAAGCAGCTTGCAAAAAAGATAGCTCTTTTCCAGCTTTCTCTTTGCTGTGACAGGATGCTTGACATAGTTGATCTGGGCTCACAGTCTCAGAGGGCTCCATCCCTAGTCCCTGGCTCTAATTCATTCTGGGCCTGTGGTGAAGAAGAACCTCATGGCAGATGGAGTCTGGAGGAGGGGCCATCCAGAGGTAACTCATGATGGGAAGCAGAATTGTGAGGGGGTGAGGGGAGAGAGAGGGGAAGAAGGAGAGAAAAAAAATAAGTAGAAAGAGGCCAAAGGAAAAAAAAACCTTTCTTGAAAGGCTCACTCACCCCTATCCCCAGTGACCCACTTCGTCCTGCTAGGTTCTACCTGCAGACATTTCCAGAACTTTCCCCTATACCACTACCAGTTGGGGAGGGGAGCACTCGAGTCTTTAGGAGACAGTGTATGTTGAAACCACAGCAATGGGGGATTTAGAGAGGTTAAATTCACAGAGATTCAAAGTAGAATGGAGGGGGCGGGGACCCGGAGAGTGGAGAGAGGGGAAATGGAGACTGGTTCCACAGACATTGAGTCTCGGATTTCAGTTCTGGACATGGGTTGTGTGACAAGCATGTATGTGATACTGCTGAGTTGTACACTTAAACATGGTTAGAAGGAGAAATTTGTGTCGTTTTTTTTTTCTGAACTACAGTTAAACAAAACAAGATAAAACAACAACAACAACAACAACAACCCCTGCTGATGGTCTTGCCTTCTCTGGCCAGCCCAGCAGGGGAAGCAGACCTTCTTCTCAGAACTCCTGGAAGTGATTACTCTTTCCACGCCTGGGCTGATGATACCCCAACCGGCTTCTTCTGTGTGTGACATTCGAGATTCCTTTTTGACAAGCCGTTTGAAGGCAGGGATAAAATCTTTACCTTTTTATTTCCCCCCCCATGGCACCTCACACTGTCTCAAGCCTAATAACAGTTCAATTAATATCTGCTGACTGGATCCTCACTTCCCTTGATGTGTTTTGGTCCGCGAGTTGGCGGGTGATGGATGGAAGAGAGAGCAGCCGCTAAGGAGAAGGGCATGAGGGAACGCGCCGGGCTGCCAGTTTATTTTCCACGCGTTGCCTGTGAATTGTCTGGGCAGCTACATCCCCCTGTGGTCAAACTTACACATATTCGTATTATTTTTTACTGGTACCTAGATGGAGGCGGTACCGTGAGGACGTGAGGTAGATTAGTTGTAAGAGAATGGTGGTGAGGCTGAGAAATGTCGGTGGACATGAGCCTGACCTGCACCTCCTCTGGAAAACAGGTCTGTAACTCTCCTCAGCCACCCAGCTCAGGGTCTCACAGATCTTCCGACAGATCTTCCGCGGGGAAGAAGCCGTCCTCCTGACCTCTCCCTTCCCCTCCCCACCTCCGTGTAAACTTCTTCTCGGCTGAAATGGAGACATTCTCTTGTCGCCTTCGCCCTTGTACACTCTTTTTAAAAACTGGACTCGAACAGAATAAAGATCCCTCCCGTAAGGTAACTGTAATTCTCCTCTTTGTAGGGTGGTTCCTCTGTTAAATTAATTGTCTGGCTCTCCTGAAAAGCAATCTTTTCCCCCAGTTCATGTTCCGTTTTTGACCTAACATGGCCATTCTTGGCCTTTTGAATGGGATTTGCTTCTGGTCGGGAATTACATTTCCATAGCAACGCCCGGCAGCCATCTTAAAAGCACTCCTCCCCTCCACCGCGCAGGCAGCCCGGTGTTAAGGTTCTGCCATCCCTCTCACACAGAAGCCATGGGTGTATTTGTTCTCATTTAGGCGGGGCAGACAACAGCAATGGCTACTCAGACCCCTGACAAGCTGAAGAAAGCCCCGCAAAGGAAGAAGGCTGCTGTCTGTTCCTGGGGGGGCCCCGGGCTGCTGTTCACTTTTTAGTTTCACAGCCTGCTTTACAAAACTTGGGGTGGAGGTTTTCATCTCATGCCTGAATCACCCAGGCCTTTTTCTCTAAGCAGGGCACCCCACCAAGCTAGAAGCAAGAGAATGGCCTGTATTCTAGCTTTGGGGATCTGTGTGTTTCAAGCTTGTTATTTATGGCTGTTTTTTAAAAAGTAAACCATAAGAAGTGTGAAGTTTTTAAAAACTTAAAAATATACCCCTCTGCCCCCTATTAGTGACTCTGAAGGATCTTTGTCGTCCACGAAATTAACTTCAGACTCTGCCCCGCACAGCAGCAAGGCCTTCAGTTTGCTGGTTCCTGCCTGTCTCAACTCACCCACACTTCCTTCCCTTCCTCCTCCGTCCTACTGGAGAGGAGATGAGCTCTCACGAGAGATCCAACACTCCCATCCTGGGTGTCCCACCCCTGAACCTGAGGCACCTTCCTGTACCCACCTGCCCAAGTCCTTCTCCTTCCTCAGCGTGGGTTTTCTCAGCTGGTGTGTGGGGAATACAATTGCAGAAGAAGTCATGGCCATCTGGGGGGTGGCAAGTGGGCTTCGGACTGCTGGAAAGCCCTCCAGGCCAGTCTTCCCATCTACATCTGCACTGTTTATTTGTCTTAGTGAGCCACCAGTTGGGGTCATTTCCTGGGGGTGCCATGTTATAAAGAAGTTGGCGGCTCTGCTTTAGGGCCCAGCCGCCTCCTCCACCAGTCTCTCCTACCCTCCAGCTAACAGGCTTGAGCTCTCCCCGAGGCACCTTCTCCAATCCGTTTTCCCTGGCAGTCTGTGTGTCTCTCTGTGTCTTCAGTATTTACCATTTCTCCTACACATAACACCCCCCAATCCACTCGCCCCCCCTCCACTCACCACCCCCACCTAGGGCCTGACGGCTCTTTAGCAATTTCCTTAGTATGTAGTTATACCAAACAGACTAGAACCACCTTCTCTTGTGTGAAATTGGGTCCCTTTAAATGCTTGTTGATTTGAATTCTAACCATGGATTGTCTTCCCGGAGGAATTCCCCTGACACGCTGCTCTTATTCCAGTGACCCCACCACTCTTCAGACCACTTCTGGAGTTTCTTTGCTGGAACTGTTTTCAGAAGATCTATGAGCTGAAGAATAAAATGAGTCTCTTTTCCTTAGACTCGAACACCGTGTACTTAATTCTCATTTTGTTGTCATTGTTAGTCAACAAATATTTATTGAGCTCCAGGCACGAGGCTGTTTTCTTAAAAATTTAATATAAACTACTTGTCTACCTTATTGGCAAGATTTGGCTCTAAATAAGTTTGGTCTCTTTCCAGAAATCAAATCTACTCTCGGAACATTACAGATTTACTATCTTGGAGCAGATTCACAACAAGGAAAACAAAGACTGCGAAACGGCAGCAAGGGACACAGGACGGTGGCAGCCGTGGAAATGGCCACAGCACCGGGAGGAGGGACTTCTCAACGTCCACCCTGCAAGGGACAGCAAGGCCAGGGCGGTGAGCGCTGGGGTGTGCGAGTCCCATCGCCCATCCCTGGGACCAAATACCCAGCGAAAGCAACGGAAGGGAAAGGAGGATTTGTTTCACCCGTGGTTTGAAGAGATGCAGTCCCTCATGGTGGTAAGGCACGGCAGTGGGAGTATTAGGGAGCTGGTCCCACCGTATTCAGCCAGAAATAGATGGATGCTGTTGTTCCACTCACTTCTATCTTTTTAGACACTCCAGGACCCCATGTCCTCGGGATAGTGCAACTAACATTTGGGGTCTTTCCCCTTCCCTTAAATTTCTCTGGAAACACCCTTACAGACCCACCCAGAGGTGTATCTCCTAGGTGACTCTAAATCCCTTTGGCAGAGATGTTTGTTTGTTAAGACTCATTCTCCTTGGCTTAAGTCACCTTTGCACAGGTAGGTGTCATTCAAAGGACAATGGAGCATAGTGATCTGTACCCTTCAAGAGCTTCTGTCCAAAAAAAAAAAAAAAAAAGGAATCTTCTCTAGGATTCTGTCGATTCTCAAGAACACATCTGACCCCGTGAATCAGTATAGTGTGTGCTTAAGATTATGCTATTTGTATGCCATCGAATTCATCTGTGCCCTGGCTTTGCTGCTGGGCTGGGCTGTCTTGGGGCTCACTTTGCTCCCCTGTTTCATGGAAGGCTGCTGTGTACTTTACAGAGCTGCTGCAGAGGTAGTCATTGGCTCTGACACACAGCTATTCTGATTTCAAACAAAGCTTCCACAAACATATTGGATTATTATCGTTTTCCCAGGAGAATGGAGGGCGAGGTAAGAACTCCTGCCTGCCAGCTTTTGGAGCCTGGGATTATAGAGTGGCGTTTGAGATGTTCCAAGTCCTCCAGAGGGAACAGTAGAGCTGGCTGGTGAAATGTCAGGGCTGCATCTCAGGAAGGATGCTGTCTGAGGCTGGTTTATCCAGCAGGATGTGTGAATGAACGAGACTAAGGAGCCATTCCTGGAGAAGGGGCCTAGCTTGGCATAGTACACTGCTGTGACTTGGATCTTAAATGCCTCCGGAGAGCCCAGGTGTTGAAAGCTGAGTCAGCTGTGTCTCTGTTGGAAGGTGGTGGAACCTTCAGAAAGTGGGGCCCAGAGGGAGGCCCGGATGGGTCATTGAGGGCAGCCCTCGAAGGGGATGTCGAGATCCTGAATCCTCTATAGTTGCATCCCAGCTGACATGAGGTAAGCAGCTCACTCTTGTGCTCCCTTGTGACTCCAACACCATGTTCTATTTTGCTACAGGCCCCAAATCAACAGAGCCTATTATGACTGAGACTTCTGAAACAGTGACCCCAAATAAGCCATTGCCTCTCATACAGCTTGGGTATGTTGTCACAGCAGCACAAGTTTCCTGACACACACTCAAGGTATTCCTCACTCACTGCTTCCAGCAGAGTAGCTGTTTGAAAGACAGTTGGGTCCTTCTCCTTCTCTTTGGGCTCTGCTTGCAAATGCACCTAACAGACCTGCTACTCCTCCAAGCACCGATTCTAACTCCTGCTGGTCTACACTCGATCCATCTGGAAAGCTTCCCGGAAGGACATGATTAGGGCCAGCAGTTGGGTAAACTCGCAGGTGTCTGCCACACATCAACTCATGCGACCCTAAGAGGCAGGTAGGCCTTCTAGTGGTCCTTGCTTTATGGATGGGGAAATCAAGGCTCGGAGAGGTGAGCAAATCGACCAGCCCCACGTGGCTGCTCAGTGCAAATGACTTGTCAAGGAAGTGGAATGGAGAACATCTCAGTGGCCTCCTCAGGCCTGGACTGCACTCAGGAGTTTGCGGATCAGCAGGATACCGTGACACACACATCTGTAACCCCAGCACTCAGGAGCGGAAGGTAGGAGAGTCTTGAGATTGTGAGTTTGAGGCCAGGTTTGGCCACATAGTGAGTCCGTTCTTAGAAAAAAAGAAAAGTAAAAGGAATTTACATTTTAATCCAAATGAATTCATTACTTAATCACATTTACCATTTGTCCTCCTTCTAATGCCTGGGTTCCAGGAGGCCAAATTTTTTGCCTTTTTTTTTTTTTATTAACTGCTGAATCTCAAGTAACTAGAACCATGGGAGCACACAGAAATGCATAATACATATTTATTGAATAAATGAAGTATCAATATTTTTTAAAGACTTTTCTCCTGTTTTTTTCTGGGTGTCTCCCTTACCCACACACATTGCTTTTTAGAAATTTTGGTCTGTGAGTTGTTGGGTCTTTCCACGATCCTTTGCTGTCTGGGTGGGTTTCCATCAAAATACCGACTCTTCCCCAGAGGAAAGCACAGTCCTGGTCTGAAGTCTGTGTTCATGGATATTTTTCCTAGAGACAATTACAGTTCTTGGCAATCAGTTGCTTCTGATGGTACATTAGACCTATAGACATGATCCTGTGGTGTGTTTCAAGTCTTTAAGCTGAGTCTCTGTTGAGAATGTATGCTTCTATTTGCTACAGACTTTCGCCCTCCCCACTCTACCCTGGGCAGAGCGATTCTAGTGCAACCCCAGCTTAACAGTTGAGGAAATGGAAGCTCCCCGTGAGCAGTGAGCTGCTCACAGTCACGTAGCAGGCAGGGGCTGAACTAAGCTCTCCTCAACTTCCTGGTCCTGTGTGCGTTCTCTTACATCCTTACCGTGTGTCCCCTTGCAGGAATGCCCTGTTTGGCTAGGAATGAAAACTGATGTCATTAGTCCAGGGGATGTGAGTCTGGGGTGAAGGGACAGAGGAGATGAACTGAACGGAGACAAGCACCTCTCTTTGTTCTGTTCTCAAAAAGCCATGGTGCTCATTGGCGACCCCTCCAAATGATGGCGTTTTCAGCAAATGAGAGGGGAGCAGGTCTCTCTCTTCCACCCCCATTGTAATTAGTTGTCAAAAAATTTTAGATGGAAGGGGGAATGCTCAGACCCTGATGAGATGATACAGCAAAGATTTCATTTCATCTTGAATTTGACATTAAACTTTAATAGTCTCAAGGACAAGAAGCCAAGAGATATCAGATGTAATGCGATAAAGCAAAGTTTCTCTGACAGCAAATTTGATCACAAATGGGCTCCAAGATTGCTTCTTTGATATAAATGAAACATAATTCATCTTCCAGAGCCCCGAATGGGCTTTCAGAGTGGGGACAAAGCTGGCATCTCTCTTGCCTGGTGCTGACAAGTGGCAGCCCAGGGAGGAGGTATGGGCTTGGTAGGACCCTGCTGGGGCAGCAGCCACTGTGTCTGGGAGGAGATGGGATGAACAGGCACTGGAGGCAGAGAGCATCCCGGACTCCAGCCTGTAGCCAGGAGACTCCTGCTCCGAGTCAAGTCAAGTCCAGACCAGCGTGGTGCTAAGGTAGGGGTGGTGTGAGAGCATTAGCCTCCCAGACCCCATTAGCTCCCTGTTCATTTATTAATCTCATGAATGCTATTGGGATACTCACTACCTTCCAGTGAGACACCTGCCCTTGGGGACTGTCTTTCATAGGAGTTAGATGGGGTTGAGGTCAAGAGGCCCCTGTTACAGACCTAGCCTCCCGATGCCCTCTCTGTCTCCAGCCTTTGTTCTCCCAACTCCTGCTTCTCCTCAGGTCCCAAACCTGTGAATACCTTAGGACAGGTGTCATAAGCTCTTTTGTGACCTGACCGTCTCTAGCATTGCCTTTCACACTCTCTCCAAGTATTCCTACTGTGGACTCAGCAGGAGGAGTACAGACCATGCCTTCTCGGTGTTTCTGTCTTTCTAAGGAAGCCCTTCTCCCCTTGGCCAGACATTAGTCACCCCACTCCAACCTCAAAGGCAATGCCTTCTGAGTCCCCTCCCTCCCCTGTTCCGCTCGAAGACAACTGTCCTCTGTATTCCCGGACCCTTTGATGACTCAGAATCTGTCTGCTCATCTTATTGCTGTCCCTGCTCTGTGTCTTGCATCTCATTTGTCAGGCAATGTCTAGTGATCTTTGTCTCCTCCCGGACATGTCATGCCTGGCGTGGAACAGGTACCCAGAGAGGATGGACTAGACAAAGTCAAATCCTGGCCACACTGAAAGAGATGGAGCCTTTCAATTTAAAAGACAGGCTCTCCCTAAGACTTAGAGGATTCACATGCACATGCTTTGCCTCTCCATCCCATAGACTGAATGTACCAAATACTAGAGGAGAGCTCACACTGAGGAGCTGTGTCCAAATTCTCCTGAATTTGTGAGTTTGGAATCGAAAAACTAAAACCAGTGTTGAAATAGGTCTGGTTTATTTATCAAACCTCTTTATCTTACCCGAAGACAGTCTGAATGCCTGATGGGAGAAAGGGTCCATTATTGCTCAGGACAGCAAAGGATGTCGTCTGGGAGCTGTGCTGAGTAGCGCACACACATCTACTCACAACGTGTAAGATGGGCTAAAGTCCAACCTGGGAAGAAGAATCAGAGAAGGAAGCAGAAAGAAGTCAGGCAAACCCATGGAAGAAACTGATTTTGAGAGCTCTGAGTCAGGTAAAAAGTAGTTTATCTAGTTTTTGATATTGGCAGTTACACCTAGAGCCTGTGTGTGCCAGGCAAGTGCTACCACTGAGCTATCTCCAGGTCCTGGATTTTGAGGCAGGGTCTTGCTACATAGCTTGAGCTGACCTTGAATTTGCTATGAAGCTCAGGCCGACTTGGACCTCATGATCTGTCTGTCTCCCAGGTGCTTGCATTAGGTGTGTGCCACCATGCCTTGTACCTGAAATGTGGATTGAATGCATGTGTTCATAAGTAAACTGTGATGTATGTGTGTCTGCAAGTGTATGCCGTATTATTCAGCCTTACAATGGAATGAAGAGCTGGTTCACACAGTGTGGATGGACCTTGAAAACATCATGAAAAGTGAAGAAGTCAAGCACAAAGTTCATACAGTCCTATGGTCATGCCTAGTATAGGTAAACCCACGAAGACAGTGACTGATAGTTGCCAAGTGCTGGGAGGAAGGAGGAGTCGGGGGAGGTAACTTGAGTGGATATGGAATTTCCTCTTGTTGATGATGAAAATGTTTTGAACTAGACTGAGGAGGTGGTTGGGCAACATTGTAAATGTGCTAAATATCACTGAATTCTTCATTTGAAATGATTGATTTCAGCATATGTGAATCTCACCATAATAAAATAGAAACCAACACTCACACAAACAGAACAGGGCACGTGGTATAGTTCTGGAGCATCTATGTGAAATTAATTGTGTATCTTTCCATCATCCTGAGTTCCCAAGAAGCTTCCCCCACAGATGTGTGTGTCTAGTAGGGCTCACTTGCTGTCTATCTCCCAGGGACAATATGATGTGATGGCACATGTGGATGGGGCTATGTGGGACCTGAAAGGAAAGGATGTCGAAGTAGGTGCCTTGCCTCCTTATCTGTGTCTGCTGTCTGAGGTGTCATGATGGGCTTCATTTCTCTCCCATCGAGAGGACCAGCCACTGAGCATTAAGACCTGGTGGGTGGACAGAGGGTCTCCCCTCTGGGACATCAGTTTCAGCTCCACTGAACCTCCTGTTTTCTGTTGTCAGCACTCATGAGACACAGAAAGGGAGGGGGGAACTGACCCTAGGTGATGACAGAAAAGACCCAAAGTCATTAGTTTAATGGAGCGATTGGCTGGGCTTCCAGATCTCCTTATCAATGTCATTAGAATTAATTTGATTGCTTCCTTTCCCTCTTCCCTCTCTCTCTCCCCTCTCATTGCAAATGACTTTCTTGTGTCTATGTCACTCAAGGGAGGATGATTTTCCATGTGGTAGGACCTTCTGAGACACTGATGACTTCTTTCCCCTCAGAGCTGATGGCAGAGATCTCCAGTGGATGGCAGTGTCTCTTGTACTGGTGTGTTAGGGTTGAAGGGGCCCCTAAAAGGCCCTTAGCCTTTGCCTGATAGTGTATCTTTGGATAACTAAGGTATTGTGTGTCCTTTTCCAATGAGTGAAGCAAAAAGAGAACCTAAGGAATCTCACTTTGCTTCTGAGTGCTGAATTCCCAAGCTCCTGTGGGATTCTCTACCCTGGTGCCAGGATCCCTCTCTCATCTCATCTAGGCTTTTAGACCAGAGGCTTGGGAGATGATCTATGGCTGTTGCTAGACAACCTGCATCCTATGGGAATATAGAGATGCTAGCGGATGTTGGAGGTGAGCAAGAAGATAACTTGGCACAGCCCAGTCCATCTCCAATGGTTCTCGCCATTGTCTTCTTAGAGCTGACCTCATGGATGCTCCAAAGTGGGAGATCTCTGGAGTCTGGGTTCCCCACAAATGCTGGCTTTGTTGGTCAGCCCAAGAACCCAACCATAGGTTGCCTTTCTGAAATGGTCCGTAGGAAGGGGCCCTGGTGTATTTTCTGACTGCTAACTGGGCTCTGACAGGGGAAGAGGCCACAAATACATGGAAACTTCACATAGTTCCCACATTTAGCCTTTTGGTTTCTTCATGGTGGTCACTTGCCTGGTCCATCACATACAAATGGAGCACAGGCTTGCCCCATCTGGCAGTGTAGCCCAATGAGTGGGACCCAGGAAAGAGGAGGGAGCCCATGTTTGATCTCTGCCATCTAGCTGCATGACTTTGACCAAGTCATGGTCCTTTTTGTAGGCTGTTGTCTGGGACTGTAATAGCAAAGTGACACAAGCTAGGTGACTTAGACCAACAGAAATATGTAATTCCACAGCTCTGGGGGGTCAATGTCTGAGGTCAAGGTGCCGGTAGGAGCTCGATCTGACTTCTCTGGAGCAAGGCAAGGGGAGCTGCCTTTGTTTCTTCCAACTTCAGGTGCTGCAGGCATCTCTCTCCTGATTTGTGACATTCTATAACTTTAATCTTTCTATGGCATTCTCCCTAGGTCTCTTCACATTGTCCTCTCTCTGTGCATGCTTGTCTCTGGGCCCAAGTATCCCTTTTTAGGAGAACACCAGTTGGAATGGCTAAGTATCATCCTACTGACCCCATTTAACTTGATGACCTCTTTCTAGAGCTTCTAAGTAAGGTCACATTCTGAGGTACAGGGATGAGGGGGAACTTGCAAGTGTTCAGTCAGGAAAGCGAACCGCAAAGAGGTGAGAATGAAAACTCAGTTCAGGTTGA